TTGTCACCTACCAGGAAAATGATAGTCATTAGTCATTATTATTGCTATCTTTTGCTGAGTTCTTAATACCACATATTATGTTACTTAATTTCACAACCACTCCATGAGGCACCTGCTAATGACATGATGCGGGTGAGGGAAGTAAGCAGTAGAGTGGCTGGATAATTTGCCTAAGGTCCTGTAAATGAAAGAATTAGGATTTGAACCCAGCACAGTTTGTCTCCAGAGTGTACACTCTTAACCCTGACCCTAAACGTGCACTCAGGCTTTCTCGCTCTTCACTGCTCTCCACATCCTATATCAAGCCTGCTCACAGCCACCTGCCCAAATAAGAAAACCAGCTCTCACTCTGAACCTCATCCCAGGAGGCAATTGTGTCTGCCTCAGGGAAACTTCCGGCAATGTCTGAGACATCTGGCAGCTAGTGGGTAGAGGCCAAGGATGCTGCTCAACACCCTACAGTGCACAGGACAGCCCTCTACTGTAACAGAATTATCTGGCCCTAAATATCAATAGTGCTGAGACTAAGAAACCCTGCTCTATAAATGGTTCTGACCCTGAACACATCAACTCATCTTCATTCAATAAATATGTATCTATGACAGGCCCTGGGCTAGGTGTGGGGATACAATGGTGAAGAAGACAGACTATGGCCCTGCCATCAGGCACTGTATAGTCAAGAAGAAGAGACACGTGAGTCAACATGTGATTACAGCATTGTGTGATAAGAACTGTGATAAGGAGGAAGGAATGCCTAGTTTCAGATAGATCTGGGTTTGAATCCTGCCACTTATTAGCTTTGTGCTCTGGGTGATTACTTAACCTCTCTGAACCTCAGTTTCCTCATCTGCAGTTCAGGGATCACAATTCCTACCTCATGGGGTCATCACATTCTAGGGTGCCTAGCACAATGCCAGGTATATAGTAAGGTGTTCTAAAAAGTGTAGCTATTATAATTGTTCTTATAATTAGAACATCTCTGTTAAAAAGTTGTTTCTTATATGAGTCAAGATCTATATCCGCTTGTCTCCATGCCGGTCTTGGTTTTGCACTGTGCCAACCAGAATATAAATCTCCTTCATCCATAGCCATTTGACTTTTGAAGACTGTCATGCTCCCTGCAGCTCTCTTCTTCAGCCTCCACAGCCTCATCTTTCCTCACAGAACATGGTTCCTGGTTTCCTGGCCTTCCAGGCCACTCTCCCTTAATCATGCTCTAGTTTGCCACCGTCCCTCTACACATGCAGCCTCTAAAACCGGACTTGGGCCTCCTGTGCTTGTTGAGACCAATGCCTTGCTCCTGTCACTCACATCATCACCCTAGATTATGGCCTTGGTTGCTCAAACTCTTTGATCAAGTTTTTTTATTCTTTCTCCCTCATTCTAGTCCATGCTTTTCAAATTTGACACCTTCCTGCCTGGTCCTTTTAAATAAACGTCACCTCTGGCCTTTTTGATAACACCTTCCCCACTGCATTTCTGATCAAACACCTGATCCTGACCCATCTCCCACTCCTTCTCCAGGTCTTATAGTTGTTTGAGCTCCCATCCAAGCAGGTGTGAGCTCCTGCATACCTCCAGGAGCTCACACGATTTTAACTGATACATCTTTCTCTCCCTCCCGACCCATGATCATGTCTGTTTTCCAAGAGCAAACAGCCGCACCACCAGTTGGCCTGCTTCTTGCTGCCTCCATTACCACTTCTAATCTTACCACCACCTCTGCTGTCTGCCACTCTCTTCCCTCTTTGGGCCACATTTTTTCTCCTTGTTATTCTCTGTCCTCTCCTTTGTCTACCACTAATTCTGAATGTCTCCGCTTTGGCTTCTCAAGAACCAAATCCTGCCTTGTGGCCAGCAGACCAATCACACTCTACATCTTTGGTTCAGCCCAGCTATTTTGGTCCCTGCTCTGCGCTCTGAGCTTTTTCTCACTTTCCTCTGGGTTTACACCTCTTTCAGCACTTAAAGGGTGACAGACATCTTAGAGTTGGTTAACTGAGCTGTAAAGGTCAGACTTCTGACGTGGCTGGTGATTGATTAATGGGTCCAGGTGCAAAAAAGATGAAAGGTGGGTCATTTTGTTTAAAACTGAATGGGATCTCTCTCAAAAAACAAAACAAAAACTGAATGGGGATTTTTCCCTTTAGTGGATATTTTTTTCCAGATGGGACAATGGAGCCTATTGCCTCTTTAAACAAAGAAGTCAAACTACAATAGATTGAATTTCAGCAAATGTTTTTTCCAACCTCTAATAGATACCAAGAATCGTACTTGGTGCTTTCACGTATATTACTCATTAAACCTGCCAAGATGAAATGCCTTTTTTGGTGCCCAGACTTTGCCTCCTAGACGAACTATTCATCTATTCATTCATTATTTATTGTGCCAGGCACTGTGCTAAGTACCATAGCAAATACAAAAATAATTACGAGCCTCTGCTCCTCAGGAACTCAATCTAGTGAGCAAAACATGTCAACCATCAGGTGTGACACACGGCGGAAGTTGTGCTTAGAGTGGCAGAGAAGGAAGGCGCTTCGGGAGCAAACAGGGCACCCACTAGCTCTGCCCAGGAGAGCTAAGGGAGGTTTACCAAAGGAGATGACATTTCAGCTAGACCTGAAGGATGCGTTTGCTCACACACATAAAGAGAATGGGCTTGTGGGCAGCAAGAGCAGCCTGGGCGTGAAAAAGGGCAGGACATGTTTGGAATTGCTATGACTGGAGTTTAGAAGACTTGCTCCAACATCAGGGGCTTCTGCCCAGAGCAGTCAGAGGACTGCCTGGGTCGCAGAGCAAGTGAGTGGCAGAGACAGAGTGAAGCAGCAGCAGTTGGAATTGTCCGGTGGCTAATCCATAGTCCTTGGCCTCCGACCCTCTAACGTACACATGCGCATGTGCTCATAGGCATGCACCAGGTCCAAGCTCAGTGCCCTGTTCCCTGGTGCAGAGCTGTCATTTGACCAGCCCCTCCTGCTCCCACTTCCCCTCATAGGCGCCTGCCCCTGAGCTCTGAGGATTGTCCCCAGTGAACATGGGAGGGAAGCAGAACCCAGAGAAGGCTGATCCATCCCAGTGTTTGGTCCTGACCCAGACATTTACCTAGGACTTGAGTGCTTAGATCTTAACTCCTGTAGCTTCTGAGATAGACTCTGAGACCTTCATTTTGGATCCGATTGGCTTTGAGATGCTTCTTGCTGGAGTGTCCCAGAAAAGGATCTGGGTACGTCAGCCTGCCCTTTACTGAGGAGGAGATACTTTTAATTTCCCGGAGCCCTAGAAGGCTGGAGTGGGTTTATGCTAAAAGTTCCCTGTTCCCTACCTCCTACCATAAGCAGTAATGAGAGCAGGAGGGGGAGAAGATTCTTAAATTCCATGCTAGTTTAGAGGTAGGTAATCAAAAAATAATCAGTTGGCTGACTGGTTTGTCAACAGAGTCTGTCCAAAGAGCCCCAGCCATTTCCCAAATGCCATAATTCATTTTAGTTGGATTTTTAGAGAGGAATTGGATTTACTGTAGATTTGTACCATACCTCTTTTGGAAGGGCTTGCGGCAGTTTACAGATTGAAACAATGTTCTTAAGTAAGACTTTTAAGGATGAAACATACCGTGGTGGTCAGAAAGATGAAAAAAATAATAGCTACTTCCAAGCATCACCGTGTCCAACACTTATGCTATAAATTTGGCTGAAAGATTCCTGGCAGAAAGGCCAAAAAGGAAAACCATTGGTTACCCAGTGTTCATTTTCTGACCCCAAAAAACCATACAGAATCTCCTGTAGGGAGATCATTTTCCTTAAGCTAAAGTTTGATAGAAAGTGATTGTGTTTGGTCCTGAGAAGTTGAGAAACAGGGTAAAGAGTACACAATTCAAGTCGGCTGATGTTTCTCCGTGTGCAGTGCTCCCAGTGCTGCTGAGAGGTTATGTCCATAGGTCACCTGAGAGCAAGTCGGCTTGACCATGACAATGTACCGGCTTCAAAGGACCCAGTAGGACTGGCTCTTGGCTCAGGGAGAACGTGGGAAGGCGAGATGACTAGATCTCAACACGCATGTTACCCAAAGAAAGAGATAACACACACCTTTGGAGTAATTATGTCAGGTGCATTTGTTCATCTTAATGACCATCTGGGGAGGAGGAATTATTGTTTACATTTTACAAGTAAGGAAATGGAAGCTTAATTTTTTGGCTGATCCTAGGCCACCATCAAGTCACAAGTGATTCTCTGTAATTTGTCCACTTGGTAAATAGATTATTATACAGGGTGGGGCAGACACAGATTTACAGTTGTGAGTACTTGAAACACAGAGCTTATTCTTATATTATTTTCCATACAAACAACTGTAAACCTACTTTTGCCACACCCTGTATATCACCTCCCCACTTCCTTCCTTTCCAACCCTCTCTACTCATCACCACACAGCCCTCCCCCTAGTTGTACCCATTTTAAAGACTGCTCAGAATGTGCCATGCTCCCTCACAGCTCCAGACAGTTGCACATGCTATATCCACCAAAACAGCTCTGATCCCATCTCCACTCAGAGGCCTCTCCCAAGCTCTCCTTTCTCTCTGTCCCTGCCCCCCATGTGGCTAAGACACCCTTCTTTTGTTCTCCCATAGAACCCTGTACACGCTGGATTTTTTAAAATATATTTTTTTATTGTTTTCAAAGAGGAAGGGAGAGGGAGAGATAGAAACATCAATGATGAGAGAGAATCATTGATTGGCTGCCTCCTGCATGCCCCCTACTGGGGATGAAGCCCGCAACCTTGGCCCATGCCCTGCCCAGAATTGAACCATGACTTCCTGGTTCATAGGTCAACATTCAAACACTGAGCCATGCTGGCCAGGCTGTTTTTGTGTTTTTTAAAAATATATATCTTTATTACTTTCAGAGAGGGAGAGAGAAACATCAATGGTGAAAGAGAATCATTGATTGGCTGCCTTTTGCATCCGCCCCCTATTGAGGATCAAGTCAGCAACCCAGGCATATGCCCAGACCGGAATTGAACGTGATCTCCTGGTTTATAGATTGACACTCAGCCACTGAGCCATGCCGTTTTTAATCAGTCCAATAGGTTTTATCACAAGACAGTAAAGATGTTAGTCACCTTTGGTAAAGTAAATAATTATTTATAGTTTGTTTGCCTCCTTCCAAAAATGGTTTGATTTGCCTTGTAATAACAGGCATATCCACAATAAGACTGTTCATATAGAAACAAGAAACAAAAACTATAGATAGAAAGGGAATAATATCGTTGTCTACATTCTTTTTCTTCCATGAGCTCACCTGGTGTCCAGGACAATCCTCTGTGGATGGGCACAGGTTCTGTCTGGCTTAGAGACAGGCACGCAGGAGGCTCCTGTAAATGCTTATGAATTCAGGAAATACATGGATGTTCTTCTCATTCTCCAGTTGATGCCACAAGTGTTTCCTGGTGCTCTGGTTTCTTCAGGCTTTCATCCCCTCATGCTCATTAGTGGGAATAATTGTTTTTACTTCGCTGCCTTTCAGATTCATTGCTTTGTTGGAGCTTCATCATCCAAGCTACTTCAGATTCTCTTGCCCTTTTTGTTTTTAATGACTCCATGCATAAAACTTAGAAAAAAGAAAAGAGCAAAAAAAGAAGTCCTCCATGATACTATAACAAAGGATATTTATTAAATTTTTTATATAAACTTTTTAACATTATTTCAGATTTTCAGAAAAGTTTTCCAGAATAGGACAAAGAATTCCTGAATATCCTTCACCTGATTCCCCAACTATTAACATTTTACAACATCTATTTCCTCTCTCTCTCTCTCTCTCTCTCTCTCTCTATTTTTTTTTCCTGAGCTCATTTAAGAAAGAGTTGCAGATAAGATACACCCTTATGTAAACCTAAATACTTCAGTGTGTATTTATTAAAAACAAGAAATTCTCTTATGTAATCATACTATTATTGTGCCCTTATAGGCTTTTCTATGCATATGTTTATGTATTGATATTTAAATTAAATATCAATATTGTTTTGTTTATATTTGGTTTTAATGGCTTGCTTTATAGAAGGGGTTAGCAGTAAAGAATGTATACTATAACCTCATGCCAGTAAATATTCTACAGCATAATTCTTCATCAGACTCTGGCTTTAGACAAATAGGTTTCTGGAAGGCCACTCTCTTTGAGAAAAGGAACTGTTCTTGTGCCCTCGCATGTCTAGTCGTATGTTACATCTGTCAGTGGAAACCACTCAATAGATGAGCAAAGAGTCAGGGTAGTAGAAAGCCTTGAATGCAAATTTAATCTTTATTCTGTAGCCAGTAGAGATCCAGTGAAAGATTTATAGCAGGAGAGTAAGCCAACAAGAGCTGTGTTTTCTGGAGATGAATTTGCATGTCTTCAGGAGAGAGTCAAGGAGGAAGAAATCAGAGCATGAGTCCTCAAGCCCCTGGGTAAAATGATCCGTTTCAAGGGCAGATCTCTGCCCAGGTAGGACAGAGGCTTCTCCAGCATAATGCATCCTTTCCTTTCACATGTCTTTCAGAACTGGTTAAAGTCCTATGGCTATCTGCTTCCCTATGATTCACGGGCATCTGCGTTGCACTCAGGGAAGGCCTTACAGTCAGCTGTCTCCACTATGCAGCAGTTTTACGGGATCCCAGTCACCGGTGTGTTGGATCAGACAACAATCGAGTAAGATTTGCATAGGACATTGTGCCTTTGAAATTTCTGGACTTACATTTAGGTTCACATTTGTCATGGCCTCATGTATGCACCATGCCCGCCCATCCTACCTTCCTTACCTTTACTCTTCAGTGTCATCCCGGAAGGCAACACCCCAAGGTGCCCTTTCCTAGGTGAGCTGGGGATGGGCTCTGCCACAAACGTGCTGTGTGACCTTGGACAAGTCACTTAACCCTTTGGGGCCTAGGCTTCCTTATCAACACAGTGAGGGGTTTGGCTATAGATTACCTTAAATTTCCTGACTCTAGAACTGGTGGCTCTACGAGTCATCCCTCCAGCATTCCCCGAGATAGACACTTGACGCAGAGAACACCTGAAAAAAAAAGTTGACAACACTTTTTTCATTTATTAATGTTTGCTGAGTGCCTGTGCTTGATCCTATGGTCCCTGCCCCCCCCCCCCGCAGAGGCTTACCATTTAGTGAAAAATAGTCATCTGGCTACATCAGTCTAGGACTCAGAGGAAACACTGAGTTAGTTTCAGGGAGACACTGAGAGGTAATAACAAACCAGCCACGAGGATGGTCGAGATGGCTCAGGGAGAGTATAAGAGGAGGAAGAGAAGAGTGCCGGGGATGGAGCCCCTCAAAACAAGCTGAGCAGGAGCAGACAGAGAGGTTTAAGGAGCCTGGGGTTGTGATGTCATGGCAGTGAAGGGGGGAATGGTGAATGAGCTCAGCTGCTGCAGGCTGGTCAAATAGGAGACTGAGATGTGTCTGCTGAGTTTGGAAACAAAGAGGTCATTGTAAGCTCTGGAATGGTGGAGACAAAATTAGATTTGCAGTGGGGAGAAGGAGAGGTGAGGAGTAGAGATGGCAAATGTAGGAAAACTTTCAAGAAGCTTAATAGTGAAAGGGAGGAATAGATGATAGCTAGAGAGGAATGAATTTTATTTGTTTATTTTAACTTTGAAGAGAGTTGGGCATGCTTCAGTCTGTTTAAGAAATAGCCATGGAAGTTATTGAAGCTGTTTAAGAAAAGTCATGAGAAAGGAGGTGGGGGGGTTGGATCCTGAGCTCAGGTGGCGGAGAGAGCAGGGCTGGATGGGGATGTGGGGAAGGTAGTGGGTGAAAGAACGGAAAATCCACCCAATTGAGGAGCCAGGATCTATCCACCCCTTGGATGAGTCACTCCGTGAGAGAATCATCTCTCTGGGCTTCAGCTTGTTCATTTACAAAGGGGAGTGTTGAATTATGACTCTCAAATTCTAGATTCCATTGTTCTGAGTGTCTAAGCTTTTAAAATGTGGTGAGTACGGGGTTTTATGATCCTTACTTTCTGTCCAAATGTTTTCTACTCCTAGGATTCTCTGATTGTGAGACTGTGGAATTCTGAGATAATACATTAGACTGCTCCTATGATGCTGGGAGTACAATGGACTCCTTAGCCCTGTGGCCCCATGAGTGAGCTGGTTAGAGAGGACCCGACCGCCTTTCAAAGCGGAGGTTATTTTGAGGGCTTTGTGCAGGGCTTGTGGCAGTGCATCCTGGGGCAGAAGCACTGGTGTCTCTGCTGAGGCACCACCTGGCCTTGGGTTTTACTCTGTTCCAGAAAGCCCCAGGCCTGCTGGACAGAGTTCAGAGTGTGGCAGGTGGACACGAGAGGAGGAGGCAGAGGGAATGATCTGAGGGAGGAGGATGGCATTTCCCACTTGCGGTTCTGCCCCGCCCCCTCTTTGCAGGAAGGTGGGGAATGCTGATTTGGAGGCCTGGACAGGAAGAAGGCAGTCACACTTAAAACAAGAATAGGGAAGGTGTTGGGGTAAAATTTAGAGACCTTAGTTTTGGCTTCAGCTCTGTGGCCTTGGGCAGTCCACTGCCTTCTCTGGGCCTGTTTCCCCCCTGGGGAACCTTCCAGGCCTTGCTCGGCCCTGTCATTGCAGAGATGGCTCCTGGTTCCTTTCCCAGGGACTGTCAGTGAAAGGAAGCTAGATTAGCAATTCAAAGTACTATTTTTTTAAAATATATTTTATTGATTTTTCACAGAAAGGAAGGGAGAGGGAATAGAGAGCCAGAAACATCGATGAGAGAGAAACATCGATCAGCTGCCTCCTGCACACCCCCCACTGGGGATGTGCCCGCAACCAAGCCACATGCCCTTGACCGGAATCGAACCTGGGACTCTATCCACTGAGCCAAACCGGCCAGGGCCAAAGTACTATTTTTGAGTGCCTACCTTGGAAAACGTCACACATTAGTCATTCACTCATTCACTCATTCACTCATTCATTCATTCATTCAACAAACAGTTCCTTTAGCCCAACCTTGTGCTAAGCATGAAAATTAATAGTTCACTTATTCATTCAACTAAGTTCTAGCCCCAACTCACTGTTTTGTTATATTTTGCAAGTTACTCGATTTATGTGTCTCTTTTCCCTCACCTATAAAGCAGAGAATAAATAATTTCTGGTTACCTCACTAAGTTGTATTGAGAATCAGAAAAAAATTTTTTTTTAATGTAAACATTGTGAAAATTATCAATTTTTATTCCAATGCATGGTATTGTTATTGTGTTTTCCATTATTGATTTCTGAGTATAGGATACTGTAGGTGATGTAGACACTATATTTTATTTGGTTATAATATTCTGTCTCTTTTCTATATTGCCAGTAGCAACTGCTTTCAACAACTGCAAATGAGGTCAGACTGTTTTCCCTTCTAGCAATCCCAAGCTATTGTTTTAGTGAGAGAGTCATTAGGCCAGCAGGGACTTGGATGGCCTGGGCCCCAATCAGCCATGAGCTTTTAAATCTCCTACCTTGGCCCCTCTTTTATATCCCAATAATGTCTGAGGTTACTGTTCCCTGATATAACTTTACCTGGTAATAAACAGTTACCAGGATTTACTTTAGTTCCAGGCACTGGGTTAACTTCTGGGGAAACAGTGATGAATATGATACAGTTCCTGTCCTCAAAGATTTTCCCATTTACTAGAGACAACAGACTAATAAATTTAAAAATTCTGTGTCCTACAGTTGTTTAGCCACTTTTTGAACAACAGGGCACTTGCTGTCTTCCAAGCTATGCCGTTCTACTGTTGAACAGTTCTCACTCACTCAGCAAATCACTATTGACCACCTCTGTGTCAGGCATTGTGCCAGCACTGGGAATACAGGCAAGGTTCCTGTCCTCATGTGGCTTAGAATCTGGTGGGAGAGAAAAAGAATAAATAAAAATGCAAATGTATAATTTCCATGAATGGTAAATGCTATGAAGAAAGTTAAGCAGGATAAACCTTAGAGAAGGTGGGCAGGGAAGTCATCTCTGAAGGGGTGACATTTGAGCAGACACTTAAATGAAGGAGACAGACCATGTGAAGAAGTGTGTTGCAAGCAGAGGGAACAGCAATTGCCAAGACCCTGCAGTGGGCATAATCTTAGCATGTTCAAGGCACAGCAAGAAGGTCACTGTGGCTGGAGCAGAATATATGAGGGGAAAAGGGGTAAAGGTGTCATCAGACAAGTAGGCAGGGACTAGATCACAGGGGGCCCTGTGAGCCATGGTAGGGAGTTTCGAATTAATTCTAGGTGTTTGGGGGGGATCACTGGAGGGTTTTAAACCAGGAAGTGATATGATTCAATAACATTTACAGAGCATTTTCACATATATGTCCTCCTTTGAGGCTCTCTACAACCTAAGAACAGCAAGAACTTGAATTTTCATGTTGCAGATGAGGAAACTGAGGCTCATGCTGATTCAGTCGCCTGCCTGGGCTCCTATGATTAGTGAGAGAGCTGGAACTATCAAGCCCATTCTCCTGATTCCCAGTCTCATATGCAGCAATGTTTCCACATATTCAGTTGTGAATGAATGAATGAATGAATGAATGGAGTCGATTGTGTTCCTATTGGGGAACCCATCAAAGCCAGGGTTCCAGTGACCCACACTGCAATTCAAACTGGGACTGGAGACTGTGCAGTATCTTCCTAGAGTGCTCAGTGACCACAGTGTAGGTGTGTATGTGTCTTCTCTCTGCCCAGATGGATGAAGAAACCCCGATGTGGTGTTCCTGATCACCCCCACTTGAGCCGTAGGCGGAGAAACAAGCGTTATGCCCTCACTGGACAGAAGTGGAGGCAGAAACACATCACCTACAGGTGCTTTGACTTCCTCTCTTCCTCCCTGGTTTTGGCTCCACCTTCATTCTCTTTTTCCTGGCCTGAGTTTCAGAGGTTGACACCTTAGGTGGGTCTGTGATCAGGGCATGGGCCAGGTGCTGAGAGCCTATGACAGCGGTTCTCAACCTGTGGGTCGTGACCCTTTTGGCAGTCGAACGATTCTTTCACAGGGGTCGCCTAAGACCATCCTGCATATCAGATATTTACATTATGATTCATAACAGTAGCAACATTACAGTTATGAAGTAGCAACGAAAATAATTTTATGGTTGGGTCACAACAGGAGGAACTGTATTTAAAGGGCCAGAAGGTTGAGAACCACTGGCCTATGACTTTGTCATCCTTGTGGCTTCCAGAGGATGCTGTATCCAACTTCAGATTTATCTGGTTCTTTAGGGGTTCTTCTTTGTGTTCTGTTCACATTCCAATCATGTTTAGCTACAGAAAGTGGGGCATGGATTGTTCAGTAACTTTCAGCAATGATAAAGAACCATAGCTGAACTCATTCTCCTATCACCACTTGACAAACGACACTATCTGTGATCTACATCCCTTTCCCACTTAGTCTGATAGACTTCATGCGAGATTCCCAGCACAGGTTTCCAATTGTTTCTTAAGGACTATAGAGAACTAGGACCTGAATCACAACAGTGTCATGTGCTGACTGTCTAGGGCCGTGGTCGGCAAACCGTGGCTCGCGAGCCACATGCGGCTCTTTGGCCCCTTGAGTGTGGGTCTTCCACAAAATACCGCCACCCTCAGGGGCCAAAGAGCCGCATGTGGCTCGCGAGCCGCGGTTTGCCGAGCCGCAGTTTGCCGACCACTGGTCTAGGGAAACCAAGGACAGAGCAGGATCAATCTCTAAGTCACACCAGTGATCAAGAGCCGGGATGATGGAGCCCATCACAGCTTTCTCGGATGTCTGAATTCAGACTGGGGCTGGGACAAGAGCCAGACATAGTGCAGGCTCAGGTGGGCTCTGGTTGGCACCTCACAAGACTCTGAGTCCAGCTTGGGTAGATCTCCTGGGTTCTGAGGTAGGATTTAAGATAGAGATCTTAGAGTGGAACTAAGGGCTCTCCTGCTGACAAGCTGTAGAGATCAGAACAGGATTCTTTCAGAAATCTGACAAGAAAAAGAAACTGAAGAAGAATCTGGGTTAGAAACTGGATAGACTCTTAGGGTCTCCTGAAGAGG